GTAGGCAGAGGGAACAGCTGCCTGAGGTTCAGGGTAGTAGGGGCAGGGCATCAGCCGGTGCTGTTTCCCTGAACCCCCACTGCCCGTCTGAGCTGGCGGTTGACACCTCCTTTCTGGCTGGGAGAAGGCTCTGAGGTGTGGACCTTTTTCTAAGCATTCATCTACAGGTGAAGACAGTTGCAAAAGGGGCAGAACAGAAAGCACCCATCTCTTTGCTAGGTGTGAAACTATTCCTGAGGATTTGGTTTCTGTCTGCCTTTGCTTTCACGCCGGGGGGGGGAATTTCCTTCTTGAGATCATGCTGTCCACAAGAGGGATATGGAGCCCTGGTGGCGTAGTGGTTGTGGTTGAGAGCTTGGCTGCTAACCAAAAGGTCGGCAGTTCAAATCCACCAGCCGCTCCTTGGAAACCCTATGGGGCAGTTCTCCTCTGTTCTATGGGATTGCTATGAGTCGGAATCGACTGGACAGCAATGGGTTTGGTTTTGGTTTTAGAGATGGATGAGGAGGAAGCCTAGGTTCCTGAGCCTATAAAATATCTAGAAATTCTTATTTCTAAATGGGGCCTCTTTCTGGGGGCTGATGTCAATGCCCCCCAGCACACATACCTTCTTCTGTGGTTCTAGATGGAGACCACTGAGGGAGGTTTGGGAGCCCAAGCATTTCGTCCTGCAGCCTCCCAGAATCACCATTATTCTCTGAGACCCCCCCCAGGCATCCTGACTTCCCACCATGCTGACTGGCAGGCAGCGTCCTCTGAGAAACTGTCAGGACTGCTCAGGAGACCAGGGCAGGGGAATTAGCTCCTGTACGTCTCCAGGCCAGATGAGAGGTGCATATTGGGCCCAGGCAAGACTTCTGAGGCAGATTTCCTTGCCTTAGGCAGGGAGGGGAACCAGAGGCAGCCTTCGCTGAGCCCTTTGATGCCCTGCCTGAGAAAAGTTGTTGTAATTGGGAAATAATTAGCAACCGCTGTGTTGTAGACAGGCTGCCCGCACGTGCCCCGGCACCTCTTCTTTCATCCTGGATATTTGGTTGTTGAGGGGCTGGCTCTGGGGGGCTGCTTGTCCAGTGATTTGCTTAGCCCTAAAGGATTCTGGTGTCCTAGAACCCGTCTGCGTTCCCCAGGCTGACCGGCTTGCCGTGGCCCCTGCGGGATGTGGGGAGGGACACTCAGCATGGGAGGGGGTGGGCCACTTCTCTTCATGCCAGGCAGAGGAGAGCTGAGGGCTGGGAGGTGGCCAAGGCATGGGTGGGATCAGGAATGCAATTTTGGGAGCTTGAGGGGGGGGAGTAGAGGGAGACAATGTCTTCTGTCACATGCTGGCCTGTCACTCACCGGGTTCTTTGTGCATCTGGGCCTGCTGCCTGTTCCCTCCCCACCTTGTCTCTCCTCCCTCAGAGCTTGGCCTTGGCAGCCAGGCTGGGCAGAACCCCTACCCCCGGGCTCGCCCCCTGCCTCCTGTGGCGTGGAGTTTCCCTGGTCTGCTTTACCAGCTGTGAGCGCAGTCTCCCTGGCCCTCCCTTTCCCCTTGCCTCTCAAACCAGTCCAGCCAGTTTGCAGGGGCCCAGTTCCTCATTGTTTTTCTTCCCACTGGCCTGGCAGCTCTAGCCTGGCTCTCAGGTTTCGGCTTCTTTAGTGGACAGAGGCAGGAGTCCACTTGGGGGCTCTCTTGGATCCATGGTGAACCTCCTTACCTCTGTAACTCTTTGTGAGAAAATGGAAGCCGAGCGATCCGAGCCGAGTCACTGAGTTGTCCTCTGTTTCTACCGCTTGCTTTCCCTGTTACTGGAAAGAGGTAGTATAATCTCTGTACCTCTAGTTCTCCCATTTTCTACATCGGCCCATATGTGGCACCTAGCATACTGCCTGGCCCCGGGCATATCAGCTCTTCCTGAAACCACCCCCCTCCTTCCTGCCAGGAGGCCAGGGACCCAGTCACAGCAGGTTGGATGTCAGACGCTACGGCTGGGCCAGAGGTGGTGGAATTGGGGCAGGGCAGGCTAATGAGTAACTAGAAGTGGCTCTGGAACAGGTGGAGGGTGTCCCCTCCCTCCTTGCCGGCCGCAATGGCAGCAGCAGACAGATGAGAACAGAATGAACTGTGGCCTGGTCTCTTCCCGGAGTACCGCTGGTGAAGAGAGGGCCCCGGGCACGTGCCAGGGCACGAGAAGGAGGGTGCGACATCTGGTGAGAGCTCAGGCTCCGGGTTCCACGTTGCCTGGTGCTCCATGTCTGTTTACCTGCCTCTGGGGCTTATGTAAGGCCCCCAGCTGCCTTGCTCCGTGGGCCCCACCCCGCTGTCCTCTGTAACGTAAGGCGGGTAGGTTTCGGTTTTCCGTGCTGAATCATTTAGAGCCCTGCTTTCTGACCCACCCCAAAGATGCCCTCCCGGCCCCTGACCCACTCGTCCCAGGACTGAAGGTGGTTGAGGGTAGGGAGGCATTGGGACCTGGGAGAGCGCTTGATCCTGCCTCTCAACCTCCTGGTGCTCTCTGGAAGGGGCTGTGCACTCTGTCAGGCCAAGGCCAGGAACTCTTTGACCTGGCCCTGGGAGATCAGTAGATGTACTGACAGGGTAGAGCTGCATCGTGAATAAATCATGTGGCTTCTGAGAGCTGGCAGTCTAGGCACATCTGGTTCTCAAATCGTGAATGAGTAGGGCAGAGAGGCCAGGTCCGGAAGAGACCCTGTTATGAGGGATTCTGGGCCAACCTCCCTTCTGCTACGCGAGTCTGCCTGGCTTCGGGATACAAGCCTTTCACAAATACTTATCAAGATCTACCATGTGCCAGGCATTGGGAACACAGTAATCAGCTGATAGCCATGACCTTTGCCCTCCAGGAGCCTATAATCTTGCGGGGGAGACAGACAGGAAACAAATAATGGCTTCAGTAAATACATAAACTGAGGTAAACTCACCGAAGAACCCCTACGGAGGATATAACATGGATCTGACCTAGTTTAGGGGGAGGGGTGGTCAGGGAAGGCTCCTCTGAGGAAGTGACATCCTTCTAGGAAGCAGGTGAAGCCAGGAAATCCCTGTTGGAAGGAACCCCATGCGCGAAGGTAGCATTTATTGTCAGCTTCGTGATGTGCCTGCTCTGCTGGGTGCTTTTCGTGTTTAATATCTTATTTTCCCGCTTCATACTGACGGATAACTTAAAAACGATAAAGAACAAACTCTTTATGTGTAAAACTTGGTAAAATTGGACAGTTGTATATGCCTGTGTAATTTGTTGTTGTCTGATTTAATTCTCACAGGTAATTAATTACATTGGGAGATATTGTCATTATACCAGTTTTACAGAGGAGGAAACTGAAGCTCAGAAAAGTTGTGATGTGCCCAAGGTTATATATCTCAAGTGAAGAGCAGAGGTGGCATTCCACCTAGTCCAGCGGCTTTTCTAGCGTACCAGGCTGCCTCTGATGAGTGGCTTGGAGAACTTACCCCTTTGCCTCCTAGCTTCTTTTCTGTTCCCATTCTGGTCCCTGCCCTTTGGGGTATCTGAGTCAGAGTTTAGTTAAGGTTCTCCCCAATGCCTGAAGAGTGGAAGACTAGGGTCCTCAAAGGCTCATGGATGGGCCTTAAGGTATCCACGAACCTCTTCAAATTCTGCGATAAAAGTTCGTGTGGGCTGTCTCCTGGAGGAGGTTGCATTGCTTTCATTATTTTCACAAATGCAGACCCAGTGCCAAAAAAGGCAAAGGACCCCTGCCAGTAAGGGGCTCCTCCCTCCCTGTTCCTTTCTCTGGAGGGGAAGGGCTGGGAATGCTGTGAATGCTCTTTCTCAGACAGGAGGCTATTTCTCCCCACCATGCCCTTCCTAACGTAGAACTCTGCCCCTCTTCCTCTCTCCCTCCTCATGTCACCCTGGTTTCCTGGGCCTCAGGACGTGGCCAAGTTTCCTTGGCCCAGAGCTCCGCAGGGAGGTTGAGTTCCATGTTTGTGTTTCTGTCTGGTATTCTACAGGCACCTCCTCCAACTCGGTGCTAGGTTCTGGTGGAGACTAGCAGAAGGGGTGGAGAAGTTGCATTTTTTCTTTGCTTGGAGTTTCCTGGACCAGAGCGTACCTGGAATACTTTCCGTTTGATGACTCTGAGGTTGGAAATGTGGATCTGGGGAGTATACCTGTAGGTGGACTTGGCTGTGTGGCCCCTTGGACTAGCACACTTAAAACGATATTTAAATTTTTTCGTGAATAGGTAATACATCTATATAGTTCCAAACTCAGAAGGGACAAAAAGATATACAGTAGAAAGTCAGTCACTCTCCCATTCTTGTCCCTGCGCCCAGGTCCCCCACCTCAGAGACATCCCTTTGGCACATCCCTTCGGCACACTTTGACATCTGTCAGGCAGGAGTTGGGTTCTGTCTTCTCTGGGGGAACGAGAAGGGACATGGTGGTGTATATGTGGATATCGAGCAAAATGATTAAACTCTTAACAAAACCAAGTTGCCCAGAGCTATAGCAGAAGAAATGGATTCTTCTTAGGTCAAAAGAAAAAAAAACCAAACTGGTTGCTGTCGAGTCGATTCCGACTCATAGTGACCTTGTAGGACAGCGTAGAACTGCCCCATAGGGTTTCCAAGGAGTACCTGGTGGATTCGAACTGCCGACCTTTTGGTTAGCAGCCGTAGCTCTTAACTACTACGCCACCAGGGTTTCCTCTTCTAGGTCAGTGGATTGCAAAGTGTGGGTACCTGGACCAGCGGTATCAGCATCACCTGGGAACTTGTTAGAAATGTAAATTCTCAGGCCCCCACCCCAGACCTACTGTCTCAGGAGCTCTGGGGGTGGGGCCCAGCAATCTGTGTTTTTAATAGGCCCTCCCAGTGATCCCACTTCCAGTTAGAGAACCACTGTTCCACTTAGAAGAAGCTGACAAGCCAACCCGCGCCACCAGAGCTGGGCAGGGGTTGGTTTCTGGATTTCCACTTCATGTCTCCGGGCTTAAAGTGTTTAATCTCCTTTCTCCCTCTTCCAGGACCCGTGGAGCAGGCAGCCGCCATGGCTGAGCCCCGGGGCCCCCTAGACCACGGAGTCCAGATTCGTTTTATCACGGAGTCAGCGGGTGGTGCCGAGACGGGCACCCTGCGCCACGGTGTACGGCGCCCAGCCAAGGACGCGAGAGCCAGCACCTATGGGGTTGCCGTGCGCGTGCAGGGCATTGCTGGGCAGCCCTTTGTGGTGCTCAACAGTGGGGAGAAGGGTGGCGACTCCTTCGGGGTCCAAATCAAGGGGGCCAACGACCAAGGGACCCTGGGAGCTCTGAGCTCCGACTTGGAACTCCCCGAGAACCCCTACTCTCAGGCCAAGGGGTTTCTTGCCTCCTCGCAGGGCAGCGCGTCTGATGAGGAGCGTGGGACCCGCTGGGATGGAAGGCTAGTCCGTTCCCAGTCCCAGGCCTCCTTGGCGGTCCCTGCCCCCATGGCTCCGAGCAACAGGAGCGCCAGCCTGCTGGAGTTAGCCCCCCAAGGGGCGCCCCCAGCTAGCACCATTGACACTGCTCCCCTGTCTTCTGTGGACTCGCTCATCAGCAAGTTTGACGGTCGCCTTGGGGGCCAGGCTCGGGGCCGGACTGGCCGCCGCACACGGACGCTGCCCCGTGAACAGCGCAAGCGGAGCCAGAGCCTGGACAGCCGGCTCCCACGGGACACCCTCGAGGAGCGGGAACGCCAGTCCCCCAGTGACCTGTCCTCCAGCACCAAGTATGACGGCCGTGTGCACAGCTCAGAACAGTCAGCCCAGAGCCAGAGCCCTCTCGGTGGCTTTAGCCGTTCCCGGCAGACCCAGGACTGGATCCTCCAGAGTTTCGAGGAGCCACGCGGGAGAGCACAGGACCCTGCCACGCTGCAGGTCAGACCTCACGCCCTCCCCAGCGTCCAGCCCCCAGCCCCTTCTCATCAGCCCTGACTGTGAGCCTTGGGACCCCTGGCCAGTTCACATAACCTAGAGCCGCCAATCTCTGCCTTCTTTCCTTCTCTTCATCCGTCCACTTAACGGATCATACTCACATGTGTAAGGTACTTCCGTGGGTAAAATTCTAAAGAAAATGGAAGTAACTCTGAAATCATCCTTTACAGGCATGGAGAGTAATTTGTCATTGCCCTAACCATGAACGGTGCTTCAGTCACTAACATTTGAGGGAGACAGCTCGGTGGGAACAGGACTTTACTCTGAGACGAAGCTGAATCCATCCTCAGAGTAAATCGTTCACAAGCTCTAGTACCATATTTTTACGTGAACAACATGCACCCCCCCCCACATTTGTTTGCCAACAGCTCCCTCCGCCCCCCAGGTATTTTTGCAAACGTGCTCTGTTAATTTTTTGTACAGCAACATGTAAAAAAATTGGCATAGCAGCGCTTACTATCTGGGGGAGGGGGGAGGGAGCAGCTGGCAGACTGTCGTAGAAGGCACGTTTGTTTGCGTAAAAATAGAGTATATTCACTATCATTAGCGACAAATTACTTGTGACCCAGCTCATAGCTGGTTGAGATCTGCTTGTCCAGTAACGTCTGCTTGACAACACTGGTGGAGAGCTATATCCTGCACGGACCTCTCCTGGCCTGTTGCTCGGGGCTCTGCGCTGTTGCCACCTTACCCTGTTTTCAGGCTCCTTTGTCATGCTTGAAGGGCCTTATCTTCCAGCGGCCACTTCTGCTCCATCTAAAGCCCGTACATGCCTCAGGCCTAATCTTCCTATTCCTTTGGGCTGCTATCTTTGCAGTTCAAGTCAACCCCAGACCTCCTCAGAGACCAGCAGGAGGCAGCCCCACCAGGCAGTGTGGACCACCTGAAGGCCACCATCTATGGCATCCTGAGGGAGGGGTGAGTAGGGCCACCCCCCAGTGGAGGCACACACCTCTGTTTTCCTTTCCTTTTAGCTGCTTTTCCCACCTTCCCTCTTCCTCATCTCCTGCCTCTTTCTCCTCTAACCCTTGCTTCTGCTCTTTCATCCTCCAGAAGTTCAGAAAGTGAAACCTCTGTGAGGAGGAAGGTCAGTTTGGTGCTGGAGCAGATGCAGCCCCTGGTGGTGAGTGGCCTTCTCGGGGTGGGAGCAAGGGGCAGGGCTAGGGTCTTGAGGCCTTAGAGGAGCTGGCTGTGTTCTCACTCCCTTCCCACCCATGTCTCTGGCAGATGGCCTCTCCTGGTCCTGTGAAGGCCTTGGCAGGGCAGGGCGAGCTTGCCCAAACAGTGGAGGAGCTACAGCAGAAGCTGGATCAAGAGGTGAAGGTGAGGAGAGGTTAGAGGAGCTGGAAGGATGAGGGACCCCAGGGAAACAGCCGTGACCTGGGGGTGGGCTGGACTGGCTCCTCTAAGTGATGCAGCAAGCCCTCTTGTGTCCTGGGAGACGAGAGATGCGATCGTCCACTATCCCAGGGAGGACTTCTGGGCTCCCTGAAGGTCAGGGGGGCAGACCACGTTAGGGGCCCAGGTGCTTTCTATTCTGTTTCCTGGGAAGTTCCCATTCTGGCTGTGCTACTTACTGGCTTTGTGGATGTTGTACAGATCACCTGAGTGACTGAAATTACTCTGCTTCAGTTGCTTCTATCTGATAAATGGGGACAGTGGTACCCACTTATTGGTGGTGCAGTGGTTAAGCACTCGGCTGGTAACCGAAAGGTCAGCGGTTCAAACCCACCAGCCGCTTCACGGAAGAAACATGTGGCAGTCTTCTTCCATAAAGATTTACAGCCTCGGAAGCCCTATGGGGCAGTTCTCCTCTGTCCTGCAAGGTTGCTGTGAGTCAGAGTTGATGGGACGGCAGTGGGTTTGATCATACTAGTCATAACGGCAACAACAGTAGCTGTTATTTATGGAATATAATTTTCGTAGGAGGTAGTGGCCTGGCTACTAGGTCATCATTATAGCAACCCTGTAAGGTAGGTTTTGGGGATCCATTTATGACGAGAACACTGAAGATCAGAGAGGGCAAGTCAATCGGCCAAGGTACTAGGTTGCAGAGAGGGAGTTAAATAACTCAGGTCCCTGTTATTCCAAAGCCTGTGTATTATTATTTGTTTATTTTTGTATCTAATGCTGCCTCCACCTCACAGTATTGCTTGTATGTAACTGGTGCTTCGGAAGTGCCAGATTGTAACTCTTGTTTCCTGGTGGTACAATGTAGTGGTTAATTGATGGGCTGTGGAGTCGCGCTGCCCGGGTTCAAACACTGGTACCCTTACTTGCTGGCTGTGTGACTGACCCTGGGCAAAGTCTTTACATTTTCTAAATGTCTGTTTCCCTAACTGTAAAATGAGAATAGCGATAGTACTGTATTTATTGTGGTGTAAAAAATTACCCCCAAACTTAGCAGCATAAAGAAAGCAAAAATTAACTCTCTGACCGTGTCTGAGGGCCAGGAGTCCGGGAGTAGCTTAGCTGGGTAGTTCTGGCTCAGAGTCTGTCGTGAGGTTCCATCAGAATACCAGCTGGGGCTATAGCCATTAGAAGGATTGACTGGTTGGAGGATCTGCTTCAAAAACGGCTGTGGGTTGGAGGCCTCAGTTCTTGCTCTGCACACCTCTTCACAGGGCTACGCCAGTGTTTCATGACATGGCAGCCCCCTTCCCACAGAGCAAGGGATCCAAGACAGAAGGCAAGAAAGAAGCCACAGTGCCTTTTTATGACCTACTCTTGGAAGTCACACGTCACTTCCCCTTTTTTTCTATTTATTAGAAGAGTACCCCTAAGTCTAGCCCATACTCAGGGGAGGGGAATTAGGCTCCAGCTTTTGAAAGGCATGCCAAAGAATTTGTGGACGTATTTTTTGTTGTCGTTGTTGAGAATATACACAGCAGAACATACATAATTCAATAATTTCTACATGTACAATTCGGCGACATTGATTACATTCTTCACGTTGTGCCAGCATTCTCACCCTCCTTTTCTAAATGTTCCTCCCCCGTTAACATAAACTCACAGCCCTCTAGGTTCCCTGTCTGATCCTTCAAGATGCTGTCCTCAGTTCAGTGCCGTTTGGTTGGTTCTTAAAAGAGCACAGTGCCCAAGGTAGACATTCTTTACTAAGTAAGCTGAACTGTTGTTTGGTTTAAAGAAGACTTCTGAATATGTTTTTGGTTTCAGGTTTAAAGATTATCTGAGAGCAATAGTTCTTTTGGGTTCCTCCAGCCTCAGTGGCTCCAGAAAGTCTGAATTCCATGAGAATTTTAAAATTCTCTTCCACCTTTTCCCCCTTTTGATCGGGATTCTTCTGTAGAATCTTTGATGGAAACGTTGAGTAATGGTAGCCACGCACCATCCAGTTCATCTGTATGGACATATTTTAAACGATCCCAAGTACCAAGGGTTGTTATGAGGGTTAAATGCAGGTAATACACGTAAGGTCCCTAGTACAGTGCTTGTCACATAATAAGTGTTTAGTAACCGTTAGACATTCTCATCCCTTCTGAGAGGTTTTCCTACCTTCCACCCACTACGTTCTCCTTCCCTTTTCCAGAAGCGGCAGAGGCTGGAGCCGTTGCGGATGGGGCTGGAGCTGCAGCTGGAGGAGAAGGCAGAGGAGTGCAGCCGACTGCAGGAGCTGCTGGAGAGACGGAAGGGGGAGGCCCAGCAGAGCACCAAGGAGTGAGTGCGGCTGTCGGTGCATGTGGGGCTCATCCCCAGGGCTCAGGGAGGCAGAGGGAAATCTCCAGAAGCTGGGTTAAAGACAGGACCTTTCCTTTTCCCCTCTCTCAGACAGGTGAATGTAATGGTTCTGGCTCCATTGGAGCTAGGCAGGGCTGCCTTTGTGCCTCACATTCTTAATCTGTAAAATGGGGATGATAATAGTACCTGCCCCACAGGGTTGCTGTGGGGATTCAGTCATTCATTCAGTAGACGTTTTCACAGTGACTACCGTGGGGCGGGCACGGATCTTGGTTCATGGGGTACATCAGTGAATCATACAGATAAAGAGCCCTGCTCGTCAGAAGCTTAGTTTGTGGTAACGGGGAGCAGGCAGTAAACGATAAACATATGTAAGTACATTTGTGGCGTGTTAGAAGGTAAAGAAGAGCAGGATAAAGCAGGTCTTGGGGGCTGGGTTACGGGGGGGCGAGCTGTAGTAGTCATCAAGGTAGCAGGGAGGGCTCGCTGAGATTTGAACAACGACCTGAAGGGGGTTTCAATGAGTTAATGTATGGAAAGTCTTGGAGACTCCCTGACACACAGCACTCAGTACATGTCATATGTTGTTAATGATCAGGCTACAGAACGTGAAGCTCCTCCTGGACCAGGGAGAACGCTTACGACACGGCCTGGAGTCCCAGGTGATGGAGCTGCAGAGCAAGCTGAAACAGGCCCAGGGTCCAGAGCCTGCTAAGGAGGTGCTAGTGAAGGTAGGGCGCAGGCGTGGGCACCCTCGCCCCTGATTTCTTTCCTCAAGTCTGTTCATTGCACCCCCAGGGTATGGGGAGTAGGTGGCTTACTAGGGGTATGAATTAGTGTGCTTCAGGCAGACTCAGTGGCAAGTGCGGTGGGAGCCCAGAACAGTGGGTTTCCTTTATTTTATTGTTGTACTTTAAATGAAAGTTTATAATTCAAGTTAGTCTCTCATACAAAAATTTATACATAAGTTGTTATGTGACCCTAGTTGCTCTCCCTATACTGTGACAGCACTCTCCTCCTTTCTACCCCGGATTTCCCGTGTCCATTCAACCAGCTCCTGACCCTCTCTGCCTTCCCATCTCACCTCCGGACAGGAGCTGCCCATTTAGTCTCATGTATCTACTTGAGCTAAGAAGCACGCTCTTCACGAGTATCGTTTTATGTCCCACAGTCTAGTCCAATCTTTGTCTGAAGAGCTGGTCTCAGGAATGGTTTTAGTTTTGGGCTAACAGTCCAGGGGCCATGTCTTCCGGGGTCCCTCCAGTCTCAGACCAATTAAATCTGGTCTTTTTACTAGAATTTGAGTTCTGCAGCCTATTTTTCTCCTGCGCTGTCAGGGACTCTATTGTGTTCCCTGTCAGGGTGGTCATCGGTGGTGGGTTTCCTTTATCTTAACAGACATCTCGAAGGGCAGAGAGCATCTGGTACCGTGCCTAGCACATAGAAGGTGCTCACTAAGTATTTGTTGAATGGATGAATGAGTGAAAGAATTAGTGGACAGATGGATCCTAATATGGTCACCCTGTGCTCCCACTCTGACTTTCCCCAGGACCTGGTAGAGACCCGGGAGCTTCTGGAACAGGTCTTGGAGGGGAAGCAGCGGGTAGAGGAGCAGCTGAGGCTGCGTGAGCGGGAGCTGACAGCCCTGAAGGGGGCTCTGAAGGAGGAGGTGGCCTCCCGTGACCAGGAGGTGGAGCATGTCCGGCAGCAGTACCAGCGAGACACAGAGCAGCTTCGCCGGAGCATGCAGGACGCCACCCAGGCATGTGACAAGGGCAGAGGCTGGGAGAAGTGGGCGCTGCCGGGGCAGGGAGGCTGCCTTGGGGTCTTGAGGCCTAGCATTTTGGGACTTTGCCTGCCTGCCTTTTGCCATCAAGTCGGTTCTGACTCATAGCAACCCTATAGGACAGAGTAGAACTGCCCTGTAGAGTTTCCAAGGAACGGCTGGTGGATTTGAACTGCCGACCTTTTGGTTAGCAGCTGAACTCTTAACCACTGTGCCACCAGGGCTCCTTTGAGACTTTACACAGTTGTTATTGGGAACTCACCGTATAGTACACATGTGAGATGAAGTAAAAACCTTGGCCAGAAACCTACAAAGGCAAAGGAAGAGTGCAGGCCAGAGGTATGCTGAGGGTGTGTGAGCCAAGGCCCGTGGGGAAATAGCTGGGGGAGGCTTCCTGTAGATGACAGGGGTGGGCTGTGACTTGGGGAGAGATCCTCCTGCTAGTATTGTACCAGCTACCACTGGGGTTTCTGGGGTGCAGCCTGCATGGTGCCTTCTGGGCCTGAGCCTCCCCTTCCACATACTCACACCTTGGTTTGGAGTGAGCCGCTGAGCCTCCTGGTCCCTAATTCTTCCCCACCCTAGGACCACGCAGCACTGGAAGCTGAGAGGCAGAAGATGTCAGCCTTGCTGCGAGGGCTGCAGCGGGAGCTGGAGGAGAGCTCTGAGGAGACAGGGCATTGGCAGAGCATGTTCCAGAAGAACAAGGAGGAGCTGAGAGCCGCGAAGCAGGAGTGAGGACCTTGCGCCTCTCAGGAAACTTCTTACATCCCACCTCCTTTCTGCCCTTGCTCCCCTCTCACTCTCTCTCCCATTTCTCAGATTTTCTTTTCCACATCTGCCTTCCTCCCTTCTGGGAGCTGGTGCCCAGCGTGCTGGCCTCTGGCGAGTGGCTTGACCTCGTTCCCTTCCCCCTTTGCATCCCCTCCCTGGACTCAGACTCCTGCAGCTGCGGATGGAGAAGGAGGAGATGGAAGAGGAGCTTGGGGAGAAGATAGAGACCTTGCAGAGGGAGTTAGAGCAGGCCCGAGCTGGTGCTGGAGATGCTCGCCAGGCTGAGGAGCTCAAGAAGGTACTTGGAAGTTGGGGGGTAGAAGGACCAGTTGCGGTGATGGGCACCTGCCTCACCGACCCCTGAGGGCCTCCACACTGCTGTGGCTGTCTCAGGTGTGCTTGATTTTCGGGCCCCGTCCTGCCTGCTCAGCTTTTCTCCTTCCCAGCACACGCTCTGCAGTCCAGCAGGCTAGTCCCCTTGCTGAGCGGACAAATTTCTAATGGAAAGAGCTCTCGGTGGCCAGGTTGGGGTATGGCCAGCAGGCTGCTGGCTGCCTCCCAGGAGACCTCATGGGTAGCAGCGATTGGGTAGATTTGTGAGACTCCAGGGTCATCGTTACAGGCTCAGAACCCGAATTTGGTCAGCATGGCAAGAGTGGCTCTGCCTCCCAGGGAGGACTCGTTAGTTAACTGCGTTTGTGAATAAATGTTTCCAGTTAGAACGCCAGTTTATCAACTCACAGTGGATAACAAGAAGTATTATCACGGGGACTGGAACTGCTGTGCTGGCCTGGCCGGCTGGCCTGCATGGGAAGCCAAGTTGTCATCTGGGGACTGTTGAGAGAGTGTAGAGTCTGGACGTGGGGAGTTAAAAGATCCTTGTGTTTAATGTGTCCGTCTTTCCAATCAGTGGCTCTGTGGTGGGCCTGTAGCATTTGACGTTTGCAGTAAGATTTCCTCTCTTTGGTCTTTTTTTTTTAAGAAAATCCTCTTTTTATCGTGCATGAATGCTGAAAGTATATATGGGTCACAAATGATAAGATCGTAAAATTCCAGGTGAACATACAAATAATTTCTTCATAATCCTGGTGTTTTAGTTTATTAAGGAACAAGAGGACAACCACTTATTTTAGATAATTTAGATAACTTAGAAACTGTTTTCGTTAATTATGGGGACTGGCACTTATGGCGTTCTGAGGATCCTTCTGGGAAACCCTGGTGGCGTAGTGGTTAGGGGTTCGGCTGCTAACCGAAAGGTCAGCAGTTTGAATCCACCAGGCGCTCCTTGGAAACCCTATGGGACAGTTGTACTCTGTCGTATAGGATCACTATGAGTTGGAATCCACTCAACAGCAATGGGTTTTTGAGGATCTTTCTAGATCTCCATTTTCTTGATTTGCTGTGCTGAATATATAGTAGGTGCTCAGTTAACAAGTTAATCAGTACTTACTTTTCATGCCGACTCCCTGTAAGACTGCCTAATTGTAATCAAGGTAATATTAATATACATATATATCTTTTTAAAAAAATTTTATTGTGGTAAATTATATATAACAAAAAAAATTGCTGTTTTAACCATTTTTAAGCGTTTAATTACGGTGGCAGCAATTACATCCACCCTATTGTGTGAACATTACCGCTATCCATTTCTAAATGTTTTCCATCACCCTAAATAGAAACTCAACATTCTGTAAACAAGGTAGTCATATTTTTAAACAAATAAAGAAACATAGCTCTAAATGATGATTTTCCAGATAAAGAAAATTCTGAGCTTACACACAATATTGGGTCGAGAAAAACATCACGGATGTTAACCAAATGAAGTGTGGTTGTGGTGGTGGTGAATATGTAATTTAAAATTCTCTTTGCTCAAGGAAACCCCTGAAAGAATGGTGAAGTGAGAAATGCTCTTAAATTTTTACTGTGTTATTTTGAAGTTCACAAATACCAAGGATAATTTGAGGTCTGTTAACTGTACAAGCTGACACAGTGAACTTGGACATTCCTCTGGATGATCTCAGCTGATTCATGCTGGGTAAAGCTGGCAAGCTCAAAGCAATAAGTAGGGCTTCATTTATCTTATATAGTAAGTGCATTTTATCAAGTATATAATCAGTAAACAAATTATACTTTAGGTAAACAGACTAATCAAATCCAACCTAGACCACGCGCTGCTGTTTTTCTTTTGTGATTAGTTTTGTTAGTGTCTTAGACTAGATATTATACAACCCTTCACCCCAATTATGGTACTTTCTGAATTTCCAAAGCAGCTAATAGCTAAAGAATTAGAGCCAGAGCTCATTTTATTTTATATATATGTGTATATATTTTTTTAAGAAGTCAGAGCAACACCAGTATTTATTGTGTTACATGTTTTGGTTTTCAGTAATTGTTTTTTAAATAGCCAATCCAGTTTTCCTCCATGTAGCATATATATGTATTTATTTGTGTATTTCGTTGCTAGTGTGTTCATTGTTGTGCTTGATAATCTATCACTGAAGAAAATTAGGTCCCAGAGCTTTGCTCCTATATTTTCTTGCAAGATCTTTATGGTTTTAGATTTAACATTTAGGTCCTTGATCCATGTTGAATTAGTTTTTGTGTATGGCGTGAGGTATGGATCTTATTTCATTTTTCTACATATGGAAATCCAGTTTTGCGGGCAGCATTTGTTGGAAACACTCATATATTTGCAGTTGAGATAATTTCACATACCATAAAATTCACCCTCTTAAAGCGTAGGATTCCGTGGTTTTTAGTATATTCACAAAGTTATGCAACCATCACCACTATTTAATACCAGAATATTTTCATCACCTAAAATAATAATTTCTTTTATAAGGATCAGCACGAGCTGGTTCCTATGAGGCAAAGGTTAAAGATGCCCCAAATGTCTAACTTTCCAAGCTGCTGTGCCCCTCCATTTCTCTAACGTCAGCTACTCCCTCCCACCTCAGTACTCTCCCCCTGTCTTTGGGCTCCCTAATTCGCTGCAACATCTCACAGAACTCACGGGACCATATAAAGGACATGGCTCACGTGGTTGTAGAGGCTGGCAAGTCCCAGGTTCGTGAGTCAGGCGTAGACTTCTCCCTGGCCTTCAGTCTCTGCCCAGAGGCACTCAGCTCTCTCGCTCCGTGGGCCGCGAAGTGGGAAGCCTGCTGCGTCTCATCTCCTGTGGGTCTCTCTTTCTTTGGTTCTGAAATTGGCTCTTTTAAGGCAAAACTGACCAATCCCCTTGGTGGGCCACAATTACCTTATTTGCACAGCCCCACCGAGTCACCTGGGTGGGAATCACAGACCACGGCTAGAAAGGCCACACACAAAAGTAATTAATCGCACTGCATCACCCCAAAAAGGAACCCTGTACCCCTTAGCAGTCACTTCCCATTCCCTCCTCACCCGGCCCGAGGCAGCCGCTAATCTACTTTCTGCCTATGAATTTGTCTATTCTGGGCGTTTCATATAAACGGAGGCATACAATATGTGATCCTTTGTGACTGGCTTCTTTCACTTGGAGCACTCGTGGCGCAGTGGTTAAGAGCTCAGCAGTGAACCAAAAGGTCAGCAGTTCGAATCCACCAGGCGCTTCTTGGAAACCCTGTGGGGCAGTTCTCCTCTGTCCTATAGGGTCGCTACGAGTCAGAATCGACTCCATGGTAATAGGTTTAGTTTCTTGGTTTGGAGAAATGTCCATTCGGATCCTTTGCTCATTTTAAAATTCAGTTAGTTTTCTTTTTATTATTGGGTTGTAAACGTTCTTTGTATATTCTAGATACATTTCCCTTATCAGATACATGATTTGCACATATTTTCTTCCATTCTATGGGTTATCTTTCTACTTTCTCAATTGTGTCTTTTGATGTGCAGAAGTTTTTTTCTTTTTTTCTTCTTCTAAACTTATGGCAACCCCACGTGTGTCAGAGTAGAACTGTGCTCCACAGGTGTTTTTGCTTTGTTTTTAATATTGTATTGTGTTCTAGGTAAAAGTTTACGTAGCAAGTACGGTTCCCATTTAACAATTTTTACAAAACTCCTACCATGACGTTGGTTACATTTGTCACAATGTGTCAACCCTCTAATTATTTCCATTCTTTTAGTTCTATTTCCATTAATCTAGCTTCCCTGACCCTCCTTAGCTTCTCATCTTTGTTTTAAGATAAATGTTGACCATTGGGTCTCATACAGTGGATTATTTAAGGGAGCACAGTGTTCATGGATGCTAGTCTTTGGTTTCCTTCCTTCTCTTTTGCTCCAGACAAGTAGAGACCAATAGTTATATCTTAAATGGCTGAAAAGTTTTTAATTTTAGCGTTTTTATTAGGTTGTAGAGTAGATACAATGGCATTTGTCATTTTACTCAGCATTTTTTTCCCTGTTGTGCTTTAGAGGAGGTTTACGGAGCCAATTAGTTTCTCATTGAACAATTAATACACGTTGTTTTGTAGCGTTGGTTGCCAACTCCGTGACGTGTCAGCGCTCTCCCTTTCTAGACGCTGAGTTCCCCATTTCCATTTGTCTACCTTTCTTGTCCCCTCCTGTCTTCTTGTCCTTGCCCCCTGGGCTGGTGTGCCCATTTAGTCTTGTATACATGGTTGAGTTACGTGTATTATTGTTTGTTTCACGGGCCTGTCTAATCGTTGGTTGAAGGGTGAACCTCAGGAATGACTTCAGTACTGAGTTAAAAGGTTTCCAGGGGCCATGGTCTCAGGTTTCTCCAGTCTCTATCAAACCAGTATGTCTGGTCTTTTTTTTGTGTGTGAGTTTGAATTTTGTTCTACATTTTTCTCCAGCTCTGACCGGGACCCTCTATTGTGATCCCTGTCAGAGCAGTCAGTGGTGGTAGCCGGCACCATCCAGTTTTTCTGGACTCAGTCTGGGGGAGGCTGTGGTAGTTGTGGTCCATTAGCCCTTTGGACTAATCTTTCCCTTGTATCTTTGGTTTTCTTCATTCTCCCTCCAGACAGGGTGGGACCAATAGAGTAACTCAGATGGCCGCTCACAAGCTTTTAAGACCCCGGATGCTACTCACCAAAGTAGGAATATCTATATCCTACTTTTCTTTATAAACTATGTTATGCCAGTTGAGTTAGATATCCCCTGAGACCATGGCCCGTAGCCCTCAGGTCAGTAATTTAGTCCCTCCGGGAGTTTGGCTGTGTCTGTGAAGCTTCTATGACTTTGCCTTGGTCAAGTTGTGCTGACTTCCCCAGTATTGTGTACCGTCTTACCCTTCACCAAAGAAAAGTTTTTCATTTTGATGAAGTCCAATTTATCTATTTTTTCCTTTGGTTGCTT